AACAGCCTCTCTTGCTTGCGATTCTCTTGATCTCATCCACGATCTTCTTGTTGGCGTAGAAGTTTTCACCTTGGAACTTTGGGGCTAGTTACGTTTAGTAGGCATAACTAACAAGAAATTCTAAATGGGCAAGGCAACTTACAACCGCGACGGAAATCGTCAGGCGCAAAGTCTTCGGGCGTCTTAAAGGGAAAGTCGTCCACAAGCCAGCCATGCCCGAGAGGACTGTAGGCCACATAGGCCACTCCCAGCTCCTTGGCGGTGTCGATCAGACCGTCCGTCTCGTGTAGGGTCTCAAAGGCCGAGTATTCGGCTTGGACGGCGTCGATCTTGGCAACTGGGTAAAGTTAGACATTGAACAGTGATAGAAGTCAGACAGTTAAACTAACTGGAGTTGGCTTTACGCAGAGTTGCAGCAGAGCATTCCGAAAGTCCGATATACTTGGTCTTGCCTGCCTTGCGGATCTCGTCCAGAGCTGGGATGGACTCCTCGAGAGGGGTGTCTGTCTGGGGTCAGCCAGTCTGATAAAAGACATGGGTGCATAGCACGTACTAGGATCGATACGGTGGAGGTAGTAGAGGTCAGGTGTGAAGCCTAGTCGTTCAATAGTTCCTTCAATGTATTCCTTGATATGTGAGGCAGAGTTGGTGACGGTAAAGCTTTCAACTTTGAATCCGCACTTCGAGGCAACTGCATCGGTCAGTACCAGATTGTATTACTGGATTACATATGTACATACTGAAGATCTTGTCGCGCACATTGTGCTTGCGAATGAAATCTCCCAGAAGTTTCTCGTTCACACCCGCTTGGTAAATAACCTGAGTCCATGGGTTAGACTTTCACATTTTACTCAAGGGGTCGATGGGCTAAACTCACAGCAGTATCCCAGAAAGTGCAGCCAAGCTCGATAGCTTTCAGCAGAACCGGCTCTGCTTCTTCAAGACTGAGGTTGTAGCCCAAGCCGAAGCTAAGGCCCATGGCACCGAAGCCAGGCGACGGAACCTGAATGTCTTGGAAGGGAAGTGTCTTGACCATTTTGACGAAGGGTGTTGACAGTGTTGAGTGCTATAATCTTGTGTGAATCTTGAGAACCTGTAAATGTTATGCAGGTAGGACTGGAAGCAGTTCTTATAGGAACAGCTGTAGGGTCATGACATCGCCCATGGCTCTGCTTCCGGTGGATCCTGGACAGTCCGGCACGGGCTCGGAATGGGCCCTTTCTTTTCCCGAGTATCCATTGTAGCAATTGATTCGCAGCTTGGTATTCGAGTTTCCACTGATGTGTCAAGTTGTAACTTCTCGCCTCCAGTGTAGTCTCATACTATGGTACCACAGATCGCCTATGCGGGCAACTTACACGCTAGCCGCGGGAGTATCAAGTTGATGACCGCTTAACTCCCCCAAAATCCGTTAACTCCGACAAAACCGAGGATATGTCCATAGTTTGTTAGGGGAGTGAACTACCCACCTTAAGCTCAAGATGAATATTATGGAATCGAACATATTTTAAAAGCATGCCAAACCTCTTTCTGGTTCAGCGCATATGCAAGGGTCAGCATTTAGTTCCCACTCTAGTGCCAATGCGGGGTCCAGTTCCGTTCTCATCCACTAATGTTAGAGTGGCAACTCTCGTTTCGACGGAGATTTGGTAAGTCCTATAGTTCTAACTGCAGTTCTGCGAATACATAATGAGCTAGCCGCCCTATGACGAACGTGGATATTTCTGAGTATCCTATGAGGGCTTCAGCTTACCAGGCCGTGATTCGTTTTGTATGCATCAAGTTTTGAAAATCACTACAGCGCCTGAAACGAACATTCCTCGGCCAGCGATTATAGTGTGGTGGATGTCAGGATCCAGGTTCGATCTGTGAACCTACCTAACAGTGTATCCGGGGACCGAAGAAGGGCTTCATATATTCTCGAAAGAGCCGAGTGGTGCACTTGGAAGCTATAACATACTTCATCAGCGAGTCTTCTATCTTGGTCAGAGATTTGAGAGCGAACGCCATCCCACACATGTCTGCACTATACTATGTGAGCACTAGCCAAATTGATGTCAACGCTTGATGCGGCCACTTATTCCTCCAAGGGAGCGCACATAAAGGAACCTCATAACCTGGGTAGTTACCGCTGTGTTTCAACCAATGTCCACAGCGTTGAGCAAAAAGTTTTGCTTGTTGCAGGGAGCTTAGATTCCATAATCAATTGATCTAATAGTGATGCAGAAACTTTTCTGTGTCCTCAAAATTGCCTTGCCGGAACGGAAAAGTGTGTATATTGAGGAGTTACTTGCTCGAATATCTTTCAAAGTGCGCTACGGCCGGCCCGTGACTTCTCTTGAGCACGTGGTAAGGCACACATTCCCCCCCATGAGTGCTAACTTGGCTTGGATAGTGACCTGATCTGTACACTTACAGTTGAACATTTACGCTCGCTTTCTCGTTCCCGACACGGATCTCCTGTGTGTTCCTATCGCAGATTATGAGAGGGTCAATACCAAAAGGACTGTCTCCGCTCATTGGATCTACTTTGTATAATCATAGGCAGGTTTATACATATAGTCCGCTGTAAGATCAGCATCGCATTTATAGTGCACATGAAGACGTTCTAGTGGACAACGCACAGCATCGATGGCCGAAGACATCCCCACAACCAGAGTCCAAGCTGTCGCACAGCTACCTAACCATGTCACCTAATCGACAAGTGTCCGACCGGCTACTCTATATCAGCAATAATCTGTCGCAGTTCACTGATATTCTCTGCCTCTGCAGGGTACTGACAATACTGTCTTTCCTAGAGACATCCACTAACAATCCTCTATTATTGTCTAGCGTTAAATTTCTCTACGACCTGACCGCCCTCACAGGACTTTTTGCCAACATCTACAGTAACTCGCTGAGAAAGTGGACGAAGAATATATATATATATCAATGAGTAGAAATACGTGGACATATTTCCTCGGCTTTCATCGAAGATGCTCTTGTTATATGGGTACTATAGTGCCCAAGTTCGGAAGATTGGGCAGTACTAGTAGAACTAAAGCCATCAGTGCAGGTGTATAGATAAATGATCTATTAATATATCCTGGTAGACCCACTCTCTCGTAAAGGACAAAAAGAAATTACTTTCGAGGCCAACGAATGAAACAACGGCAGAAGCAAATATGCGGACAGCTGCCGATAAGCACACTATCTTGAATGCTAACCTTACTACGGAGTACAAGTAACTAGGTGATAGGTTATCGGAAAGGAAGATTCTTGAGTTTATTTCTATGATATTCTTCTTTTGCTACTAGCTACTGCAATTTCCAGCGATGTGGTAATCATCAAGGGATCGAGGTATTGAATGGTTTGGTTCTTACCTGTGCAAGGAAGTATAAGACTGCAGTGTAACTGGAATGCTATGATATAGCGATGGAATATTACTACCGGATTTGTTGAAAGGATCCGAACGTGGGAGGGGGTAAAGAGGGGAAATTGAAACTAAAGGTTGCAAGTCACTTCAAGTTGGCAGGCAGTACCAAACAAATTGCTCCAAACATGCTGACAGGGAAAGAAGTAGTATGGTGGTAGGATCAGTCAAGACAAATGACCCCCCAAGATAGGATACTCAGTGTTGATGTATGTTCGCATTGCGCGCAAAAATATATATCCCCTACTGACCAAAATACAGGTCGCTAATATTTCGAGGCCAATAATGGAACTTCCCGGGCAGTTGCAGGTAGAACATCATGGGGATTGTTTGGGATTGGGCGGGAGTCGGGCGATTTCGTGGAACGGAAATAGATTGGTTGAAGGGTGATTGACGGGGTGCGTCATGTGCTTGATGTCTCGGCTGCAGGGGGGAAAATCGGGTTTGCAGGATGCATACAGGTCTGACAGACGACATTTTGCAGTTGATTGATCGAGCTTTCACAGACCCCATGTTTGAGCTACAAGAAAAAGAAAATGCGTGGTGACAGTCAAGGAATTGACGCCTCAATTGGGTGAAGTAATGCCGGTACTACTACAATCATCAACAACAAACAGGGGAGAAACTGATTGGGACGAAGGGGGGAACTGCCGGGTGGTAATGGATGGAGTGGCGATGACGGGAGAGGGCGATCTGGCCAGATACAAGTTGGTTGGCAAGTGGGGATGGGGCTCGCGCGGGCAGCCTGACTAATGCTAAGGATGAACTGGCGACTGCAGGTCAGTTAGTTAGTTAGTCAGTAATGATACCATTGTGTTCTAAATTTGAGGAGGTGTATTCCCTGCAAATCATTGTCATTGTTTTTTTGGGAGGTTGTATTATATTTCACGTGGGAGGGAAGGTCAGTCGTTCAGAATGGCTTTGATTTGGGAAGCAACGATGTTTCTCCCCAACAACCACTAGTGTTAATCGAAGAAGGTTCATGAAGGAGTGAGTCAACAACCGGTGATGTCAGATCCCCTGCAAAGGGCTCCAGCTGCTCCATCGCGTCTAAACTGCTCCAGGGAAGGTGCCTGAGGGCCGCCCAGACCGCCGGACGGAAAGTCCACGTCGGGCACCCCAATACAGTCTAGCGTCGTACGGAACTGGTACGGCTGGCCAGCTCCAAGGCATCTTCAGGCAGATCTGGGCTGATCCAGGCATCTTCAGGCAGCAACCTGCCCCGTTCGGCATAGGCCCGCCACCGCCCTCGCTGCCTGCCCTTTTTCTCTCACCTTCTCCTTTCCCCCCCCCGTCGACTTCATCCTTCCTCTCAAGGTAAATCTTCATCAGTTTCAATACCAGATTTCCCCCAAGTCAACTCTCGTATCTAGGGCACCAAGCTACCCTTTTCCTCCTATCTCCCCCCCTCTTCAAGCTATTCCCATTTCCACTTGCTTCAAAGGAATTTCAAGTACAGGCAGCCTTTAGCTACTCCTGAGTCCTTGTCTTAACCGCACACAAACCCGGTCAAGACTTCCCCGCGCGCAACTCAAACCACCGTTCAATTCTCTCCACGCTCAACTCCGTTGCGTCCTCAGCCATCAAGATGTCTACTGCCGTCGAGAACACTACCGACAACGTCGCCTCTGCTCCCGCCACTACCGCCCCCGAGGCTACTACCAACGGCACTGCTCCCGCCCCTGCGCAGTCTACGGACGCTGCCGCTGCCAGTGCCGATGAAGGACGTCGGTTGTACATTGGGAACCTCGCTTATGCGACCACTGAGGGGGAGCTGAAGGAGTTTTTCAAGAACTACAAGATGTAAGTGCTTGACTCTGCTTTGCTTTGTTATTGTTCCACCTGGCCTTTCACCTCCCGGTTGGTCTAAGCTCCGTTGGGCTGGTCCTAGCGGTTGGCGAGAGCCACGTTTCCAACACCCCCCTTGCTGCCATCGGACGGTAGTACCGCGCAGCGGTGGTATGTGACTACTACTGCAGGCACGCCAATTCTTCAGAGCTCCATTTCTGAAACCCCCTTGATTATCTACATTCTTTTGCGGCAAGTAACATCGAATCTAACAATGGCTCTTTCACAGTGAGAGCGTCTCCATCCCCGTGAACCCTCGCACCAACCGTCCCGTTGGCTACGCCTTCGTGGACCTCGCCACTGCCCAGGAGGCCACCGCTGCTATTGAGGAGCTGTCTGGAAAGGAGATCCTCCAGCGCAAGGTCTCTGTGCAGCTTGCCCGCAAGCCCGAGCCCGCCGAGGCCAAGGCCGAGGGTGCTACAAGTGGCGGTGAGGGTGCCAGCGGTAACGAGGGCCGCAAGAGGGCTGGTGGCCGTGGCCGTGGCCGCGGTCGCGGTCGTGGTCGTGGAGGCCGTCTGCCCCGTGCTGGTCGCTCTGTAAGTGACTCCTCCATTATCATCCATCCAATTGAATGCTAATATCCCATGTAGCAGGCCCCAGTTCAGAACGGTCAGGAGGCTGCCGAGCCCACCAACGTTCCCGGTCAGGCTGCTCCTCTGACTGAGGTCACCAACCAGAACGAGACCGCTGCTGCTGCCGAGTCCAAGCAGGCCGGCAAGCCCCGTGCTCCTCGTCCCCAGAAGCAGCGCGGTCCTCCCGAGGATGGTATTCCTTCCAAGACTAAGGTCATGGTTGCTAACCTTCCTTATGACCTGACCGAAGACAAGGTACGGACGATGAAGTCACAAAACACAGCAACATGCTAATTTCCCCACAGCTCAAGGAGATCTTTGCCGACTACCAGCCCGTCTCTGCCAAGATTGCTCTTCGTCCCATTCCCCGTTTCATGATCAAGAAGCTCCAGGCTCGCAACGAGCGCCGTAAGGGCCGTGGTTTCGGTTTCGTCACCCTGGGCTCCGAGGAGCTCCAGAACAAGGCTGTCCAGGAGATGAACGGCAAGGAGATCGAGGGTCGTGAAATCGCCGTCAAGGTCGCCATCGACAGCCCCGGCAAGGAGGACGACGCTGTCGCCCCTGCTGAGGCCGAGACCACCGAGCAGGCGACCGAAACTCCGGCTCAGGAGAACGCTGCTCCCGCTGCTGCTTAAATGACAATCTCGTTCCCCACCTGAACGAACACACCCCCGTGGAAACTCGGGGGATCGATTGGAGGAGGTGAAGTCGGAACCCGTCATCTGCATGGTTTTTCATAGTGGGCGTCGGCAGGAGGCCAATTTCTTTTCCGCATGAGGAGAAAGGCGCAAGAGCAGAAAGGAAAAGTTCTAAAGCCGAAAACCTTTGACTATTCTTCCTATTTGATCTGGTCCTAGGGGGTTCTTTATATGTTATATCCGGATACCCGAAAGGGATTCGTTGTTGGAGATGAAAATGCCGTAATGTGATTGTCTGACGGAACCTGACCTTTGCTCACGAATCTTGCCATTCTGCCACACTGTATCTTAGCAATATTTATTTAGCTTATGATTAGCCGCAAGGCTGGCCTTGTAGTATTTGTGCATGTGTTTATCGTAGTATTTTCCACGCCCGTAGTCATGAATATCCAACCATTTTTCGCTTCATTCTGCTTCATGATTGCTTATAGATACCCTGGATTTCTGTAGATCTAACCATATACCGTAGTAACACTACTAACTGATAGCCAGAAAACATCGCGGTAATGCCGTCCCTCATACTACTTAGTATTTCTCCCACACTAAAGTCATTGGTCACCAGTACGGAGTACTAGTAGTAGTGTGTAAATCCAGCCTAGATCAGCACCGCCAATGTGGGAGAGGAATTGAAGGAATGTTAGTCAATCACCGCAACGAATAAACGAAAATCTCGTCATCTCTGTCACTATGAAGAAGATTCTTTCTCAATAGCCTGTAGCTGAGAATAGATAGATACCGCCTGATCGTATGTCTCATGCGAGGTCCAGCCATCCCTGCTAAGGATGCCGGACATTGCGTCCCAGAAATCCTGGACTTCGTTCCACCCTTCGCTATCTTGATGGTGTTGGTGGATTTCGGTGGAGGTGAAGGTGATGGGGCATTCTTTTGTGGGGTGTTTCAAGGAAGCCCAGTTCCTTCGGATATGCTTTAGTATTATGTGAGTAGTATGGGGGAGATGATAGCACATACTTCTGGATCCGATTTAGTGATTCCCGTAGTGGTAAGATATCTCCATCCCATGTATTTCCCACGAAGTGGATCGGATGGGTTAGTATCTTGCCGTTTGGGTATCGGAGGACTTTGTCGAGGAGTGGGTTCTTCTTCGCTGTGCTTTTCTCGTAGAGGTATAGTAGGATTGATTTGGAGATCTGTTCTCGGAGGTCTCTTTGGGTATCTGTATCAAGGTGCTTGAAGTTCTTAGGTGGTTTCAGTATTATTTCTCCGCTGTAGTCGAGGAACTGCGGGTGGCGGCCTTCGAGGAATAAAGGACCTGTCCAGGTGTTTTGCCAGTATTATACTGGTGATGTGGCCGGTGTATGGTGCATCAGTTTCAGATTGAACACAATTCTGATGAAGTACTTCAATATCAATAGATTGGTACCTTGTAAGTATAATAACTATATAGCGGCTCTACATGCTACGAAGCTGAAATAATTTCTGGATATATTCTACCTCCATGAATTATCCCACCCAGCCTGCTCTACAACGAACGCGATAGCCAGTTCGGAGAACCGAGCCATGTGCTGGCAAATCGTCAGCAAGATATGGACAGGGTGGAATGCGGTCAACTTACTTCGATAGAGAAGACGCCCGTTTCATCGTCAACGTCCATCCTATCCTTGATGCCGTGAACGTAGGGGTCCATTTCACCTGGGAAAGAACCCCCAGCGAGCGGGTTGCCTTCGGAGGCGAAGGCAGCGGGGTAGTTGAGTTTGGTGTAGGACATGTAGTCGGATCCAGCATTGCTAATTTATCATTTAGTACCTGATAGGGTATCTGAATACTTTGGGGTCTTACGGGCCAAGCTCATAGACTTCCGCTGGAATAGAGATGTACTCTCGACTGAGATTGACCGTCCAGTTTGTGAGCGCTGCATCGGCTTGGGTTGCAACAAAGCCGATGGTCTCGGTGGCATTACGGGCAATAAAAGCCGTCATATCCTTTGCAGATGTCAGTATCGAAAACCGGAAGAACAAAATGTTGGAAGACATACAAACTCCATCATGGCACCAATCTTAGCACCCTGCTCCTTCTTATACCGCGCAATGGCTTGACTGCCCAGTAGCCCGCCCTCTTCAGCTGCATACCAGTGGAATTCCACAGGTCCATCCTTGGGCGTGTAACCATTTTCGGCCAGAATGCGGAAGGCTTCGAGGATACTGACAGTGCCAGAGCAGTCATCGTCGGCGCCAGGCGCGGGCAACAGCGGAAAGAGATAGTTGGCCGAATCTTGGTGCGCGCCAATGATGGTCAAAGGCTGAGAGAAGCTGCGGACTTTAGGCTCAAAGCGTGCGATAATTGAAGATTGGGGGAAGGGGTGGGTGAAGTATTCGAGAGAGATGTGGGTGCGGAAAGGCGAGTTGGAGATGATCTTGGTTCAGTAAGTTCATATCCAAGGATTGTGGCTGATGGGGAGGAAATACCTCAGCAATATGGTGGTGCAGCCACTCAGAGCTCTGTTCGCCGTGAAAGTCCCCGTAATATCGGTTGTAGTAGGAGGTCATGTGCTGCAGGACATCGTGCATTCGTTGCGTCTCAATTTGCGAGAACAGCGGCTTCACGAGACCTTTATGGGACAGCTTGGGAAGGTCTGAGGGCGTTAGTCCAACAATAATGACTGTGCCCAAAAGGAAGACTTACTGGGATCCCCAGAAACCGAAGCCATCGCCTGCTCCGCGTAAAAGTCCTGATGGTCGGTGATATCTATGAACTTCTGACCGCGTTGGCGTAGGCGCAGCTTGTCGCCTTCGGTCATCCATTCCGCCTTCTCTTCTCCCCGAATGTGCAAGAGACGAGGTTCAGCCAGAAGAGATGCAGTTTCAGGACGTAATGACACCATCGCAGCAACTGGGTCGGAATAAGTGTTCAAGGCCGAGACGATGGCCTCGTCCACGACGTGTTCGCCGAGTGTAGTCTTTGGGACCTCGCGATCCGCGGCGAAAACTACCTGCGAGTCTGGCTGTGGGTGCGGGGAAGCCAAAGCTCCTGCAGTGCTCCAGAGGAGCAAAAGATGGGATGTCTTCATGCTAAAAACCAAGTTGCTGTGGATATGTAGGTGCTGAACTACGGCGCTGTGAGCTGCGAAGTGTTGAGTCAGGCTTGTGGAGGAAGAGGAGAGATAAGAGGGTAAATAAGCTCTCCGGCGGCAAGGGACAAAGCAGGCAACGGTTGGGCCTGATTAGCGCCCGCCGGAGTCCGGAACCGCGCTATTTGGGGAAGTTTGGTGCCTGTCATTTCAATTGCCAGCCATAAATGTGGTTCCTTATCGGTGGATCCAACTTCCAAAAGTCAATAATAATGCCACCATCTGGCGAAATCACATTATCGAAGTGACTCATGCTCTACGGATTGAGTTGCTTAATTTCAGCATAAGCACTAGTTATGCCAATAGTGTCATATGAGGATGCTCGTGGCTCGAGCGTTCTGTTCACTCCGTGCCATTGATCGCTTCATCTTGCCATCTCCTTGCTGCAACATTTCAAGTGACTGACAGCTACTAACTATACTATAGAATTGCGATAGGTTACAACTTACATGGAATGTGTTATGAAGTCGCTTCGAAATCACCCAATGGCTTTGGGTATTGGCCTAATGAACGCTGTACACTTACTCCACTTGTTTGGCAGGCTATCCGAACGATGTGAGATATGCTTCGCTTTTTCTAATTGCACAGACATGAGGCTCGCCAGCAAATATTCGTTAATTCAGCCATGAACAATGGAAGCATATAACAATGGTTCATGTCCGAAAGTATCCTGCTATTTCAAGTAGCCAACTTCGCTCTCAGGCAATGCAAAATCCATCGCGTCGCACTTTATCGCCCAAGATAAATCAACAACGAACTCTTCTGCCCTCAATGCACTGACTGAAAGGGGTCTTGGAATGAGGTCAGCTCCAACAAAGAGATCGGCTGCAACTAATCACTACACAGCTTTGAGGCCAGCCAAGTCCCGACAATGGCCGGCGTTGCACTGGGTCTCGACTCTTCTACTCCACACTCCTCTGCTTTTCATGCCGTGGTCATCTACTCCTGTAACAGAACGTATTGAAGGCTTGCCAAAGTCACAGTCAACCGACAATTGCTCTACCTTAGTCACCGTCACTGATAATACTGATTTTTCTCTAGATACAGCAGTGAGAAAACCGACTTTCCTGGATGTTGATAATGTCATTTATATAAATCAGAATACATAAATATGGAAGCAGTGGATCTTCACCTTGTTGGTGTTGAGATGCCGTTTGAAGCCCAATGGGTACCACAGTTGGCTGAGCTGGAGCCATGGGACACCAGCGAGTGGAACTGCTGGCCGCATCCTCGGCAGCCAAATCCCGCCTTCCATTTATTGCACCCTGGACACTACCATCCCTTCTCAACTTTCATACGCAGCCTCACTCGTTTCGCCTGTTGCGATATCTACTTTTACTGTTAAGTGGACCCGACAGGTTGAGTTTCATCTGGCGGGTGGAGAGACTAACAGAAGCTAAGGATAGTGCCTCTTCTCCCCTCCGATCGGCCCCTCTCTTTCTCGCTGCTGAACCTCCCCGATCTCTCACCGCATCCAGGGGCTGGGGAGCATTGAGCAATTGCTGCCCGTCTTATTCCCGACCTTCATCTGTGCTTCCTGCTCTTATTGTCCTTGACTCATCATGTCGCGAATGTGGGAGGTCGATCCGGAGACGAGGGCCAAGGTATGCCATCGTCACCCCTCCATCTCCTGTTTCTGCCACTGCGTCCGCGTCGACGTCGGAGCCTTGGACAACACACGCTGACTTCCCCGGATCTGCTCTCCCCTCTAGCTCCTCCAATTTTCCAAAACCAATGGTAACGATAAATGCTGCGACTGCGGCGCCCCTTCGCCTCAATGGGTATGAGTCCTCTATCCTCAGACGTGCGCGGCACTGTCGCCACGATTCGCGCAACCGTACCTACCGACAAT